AGCCCCCAGGCTGGGGTGTCCCAGGGCAGAGCAGCCCCCAGGCTGGGCTGTCCCAGGGCAGAGCATCCCCAGCCCGTCCCACACTCACATGCGCACGAAGAGCGACTGCTTGGCCGCCAGCCCGGGTGACGAGTACTTCTCCACCAGGGCCAGGGTGCTGAAGCCAAACTTGTGGATGGGCTCGTTGGAGTCCAAGGGGGGGAAATCCGTGTCCACCTCCCCGTCGTCCTCGGCGATGTGCAGGCAATAGGCATTGACGTTGTCACTGCAACACACACGGGGCAGGGTCAGTCACACCCAGCCCAGGGCAGCCATCGAGCACCAAACACGGGGGGAACACCCCGAACAGACACTGCTGACACCTACATAACATGGCCCCAAAAGCCCCAACACATCCTGCTGCCACGTGAGTTACAGCAAAAATAGTCAGCCCTCATCATTAACTGCACCACAAGCAAAACCTGACAGTGATTAAAATACACCAAAGTCCATAAAGGTTTCATGACTTCATAAAGCTGGGAGTGGTATTTCTCCATTTGTTAAATATAAATAGACATATATATAAACATATAAATATATATATAAACATATAAATATATTTATTTATATGTTGACTACATTTCAGAACTAAAGGCGAACAAACAGTGTGTGATTTTTCACAGATCAAACAACTGTGAAGGTTTAGGGTCTGTAGGCTGGAAAGGCAGAGAGTGCTCTCAGGCAGGTAAACAGGGTCATGAACTATGGGAAAAGTAAAGAATCTGTCCAACCCAGCAGCAATGATTAGCAGAAAAGTTACCTTTTCTAAGTGTCCAAGAAGTCCAGTCACTAAAGGTAGTTAAGAATTAATAAAGACCAACAAGCAGGACTAAATAACACAGAAAGTTGTAACAGATACAGTGTGGGAAATAAAGAGCTGAGCCTCTTTCTTTACACAGATGAAAAGCCCACAGGGAAACAACTATCTATAGCTATCAAACAGGTATTAATCATAATTTCCTAACATTGAAATCTATTTCAACTGTCACTTCAATTTAAATTATTGACCCAAAAATAAGTATTCTTTCTAACTGTAACCTTGCCAGCACTCAGGCCTTTCCCCAGCCACGCAGAAGAGCTGGAGGTGCACGTGGCAGTGCATTTCTAAACTCTGCAGTTTAAATTTAGAGTTTTAATTGCATGATTGATGCTTAAATTAATTAATTGTAAAGTGTATGCTAATTGTTTAATTGGTCGCTTGATCTATATAGATCATTTTTTGAATTAAATGAGTTGATTTACAAAGTTTATTGATTGGATGTGACAATGAATTATTTCACTGACTACCTGATTTGCAGTTTTCTCAATTAATTCACAAACCTTTGGTTGCAACTGTGCTTTATTGAGAGTGCTTAGTCCAGGTGATCTATAGGCACCTTGTCATGACTAAGACATTTATTATGGAAAGCAGGGAATAATGATGCATTGCTGTTAATGTAAGCTGCAAATTTGCTAACAAAAAGGTATTTCAGCAACATTCATTACTCTGAATTTTGAAAATTCTGAGATACTAGTGAAGAAACTTTCCTGAGCTTCTGGACTGTTATGAAGACCTGGAACACTGATGCAGAATTAATTTTTGACTTCTAGAGTGCTACAGGAACTTTTGGGGGAATGGGTAAAAGGCAGTGCTGGGAGAGAACTGGGAAGCACTGGGCTTGGAGCCCACAGCCTGGGGCTGTGTGTCTGCACCGTGGCCAGGCCTGCAGGAACAAGCCAAAAAAAAAGGCCACAATAACTCATATACAGCAGATTCTGCTCTGTAATGGGAAATGCCTGGCATGATTTTTGGATCCTTCTCCTATTCTAGTTAGATTTCTATGAATCATAGAATCAGGGCACAGTTTGAGCTGGAAGGGAACTTAAAGCTCATCTCGTTCCATCCCCTGCCATGGGAGACATTGTCAGTTAAATCCCATAAAATAAAGGGGTTACAAATGTCTTCAGTGATGGACTGGGCTCCTGAACATTAACACAGATGTCGTCACAAATTGTTGAAAAACAAAAGTCCGGTGGGTAAAACTTCTGCACCTTGAACCTCCATCAGGCTGAGATCAAAGTCAGGAACAAGCTGAGCACAACTGAGAGATGCAACAGCATTGCTCACTTCTAAAAATAGCAACTGTATTTGAATTGTGCATCTCACTATTGATTTCTTCCTAGAAGGAGATTTGGTTTATTTTTTGCAGGCAGAACCATTCCAGCACATCTGTTAGGGGCTGGCAAGAGAAAGGTCCACTGGGTTACAACCCAAGTTCATGTATAAGAGGCCAGGGACAGGGTTGATAACACTGTCAGTGGTTCCTTGGATCAAGAGACTGAATACAGACAAATATAATACAATTATAATAAAAAAGGCAGCCTAATTGAATACAGAATGTTCTCAAAGCTGTCAACTAGTGCTCACTCACTTCAGACTCTTACATCTACCTTTTAGGAAAAAGAATTAGGCAGTAATATATTATTTTCTTAAAGACAGAGGGGTTGTTTTTTTTAATTACAAAGTCTACAATCTCCTCTCTACTCTCACACAGTATCATAGTAGGTATAGCTGTCACTCCACATGCCTTGTATTCCATTTCTCAGGCATCCTCTGTATGTATTTCAGTGTCACAATGATCCCATTTTGTCTTTTTACACTCTCACCTGACTGAATCAGGAACAAATGGCCAGTGTGGAATGGGCACCCTACACGAGCTCTTTCCTTACTTGGAATATGAGAATTAGGTTATAATTTAATCAATCCTTGCTCCAGGAGTGGCATCAGCAATGCTAAAAAAAGACGATGGAGACATGAGAAATAATTAAGAACCTACAAGAAAACAAACTACTTGGAATCTCAAGGCTCTGCCCCTTATTCTGAGCATTTTGTGCCCAGATCCTCCCTTGCTGCTGTGTCTAACATGTGCTCTGGGGAACTCACGCCTCCATTATTTATTTTATTCTCTCTGCCCTGAATTTGATTACATTGGACAGCCTCCTTGCTCATGATCACTCTTTGACACATCATAACATCTTATCCTTCAAGGCAGACAGTGAAATTCATTTCCTCCCACTGCTGCCTTTTGCTGTGGGCAGTGATGGTTCATGGAACACTCTCCTCATGTTCTGTCTGAGGTGTGCTGTGCTCCTGAAAAATATGTGTGTGTCCAAAGACTGACATTAGTGTTAGTCAGTCATTAAAAAATAACCTAATCAGACCTAAAGGACACTCTTTTGGACTTAAGATATAATGAACAGAAATCAATAACAGCAAATTAAATGGCACTGTCTGCAAATACTTTTATATTTCTTTTCCAGTGTAAAAAAAATTACAGATCAAACTGAAGTGTTTAACCTCAGAAACATCTCATCTGTCTGTTGAGAAGATCTAAGGGAAAACCTATACCCAAAGCAACAATATTCATGAAACTGTTTTCAAGAGGGGCTCTGTCCTGTGTGCCTTGTATCTATGGAACAGAAATCACCAAATCCTGGTGGGAGCTCCAGCAACCTCCCAGCACCTCCCTATCCCTTCAGAACTGTGCTACAACAGCAGATAAGGCTACTGAGGTCTCAAGTGCTCCTGAAAAATGCTAAAAGAGCAAACTGTAAAATTCAGGACCCACCCCATTCATCCAATATTCCAGGAACAACAACAAACTGAAATTTGTCTCATATAGAAAAACCCAAACAAACCCATCAACCTCCTTTGCACCAGGGATATCCCTGCCAGCAACTGCTTCTGAGAACTCTATAATAAACTATTTTAAGTCCTTATTTTATATTCCATGACCCAGCAAAACCAGAAGTATTTTACAGAACTGTTTTAAAACAAAAGCTGCTCAGGTGAGGGGCTCTGAAGAACCTGTTTATGCATCTCATGTCACCTGCCAGGATAAAGGAACAGCTCTCACTAAACACCAGCAGTGCTCCAGCACAGCAAAGGGACTCACAGTTCTGGATTGTATTTGACATCTGGTGATCTCAGTCATTAAGAACACTACCCAAACATAGATGGGACATGAAATAACAAATGCCTCTGTGATAACAAAAAATGTAAGGTTTGCATTATTTTTCCATAGTTTTGAAGTTATGATTCATTTACAGATGCAAGGTTTCCTGTTGATCATTAACAGCACCCAGCAGTTGAATTACAGAGAGGTGGCTGGAGGTGCCCGTGTGCTGCTCAGAGGGACACGCTGACACACATCAAGGTGCTCTCTCTAACATTTAGCCACCAAAACACTGACATGGAAACCCACTTCATCATGCAAAGAGGCTGCAGAGGAGGAATTCAGAGATAAGGAGGTAGTAAAGAAGGAGCATTACTTCAGTTTGGGTTCCCGGCCCTCACTTGTATATTGCCAGCAGATGAGCCCGATCAGGTCGTGCACTTTGGCGTTGGCGATGGTCACCACTGTCATGGGCTGCAGCTTGTCTTGGCTTGTGTGCAGGGGGAGGTAGACATCGATTTTTTTGGTTGCCGTTGTACCAACGTGGCCCTGTGGAGAAAGGACATTTCATTAGAAAAGTGTGACAGAGTTAATGCAAAATCTGGGCAGAGAGAACTCTCCTCAGCAGGAAAACTAAAATACTCTACTATGGCTTGAAAATGGAAGAAGATTGAACATTTAAATTCCAATTCTTTCCCTGCTGTTCATCTGTAAAAAGGACATGAAATATTTGGCCGTGATTTCACAGATTTCCACAAAGAGCCTGAACTTCACTGCAGGATCCCATGTTCCTGCAGGATCCAAAAACCCCCAAATACTTGCAGGATGGGGAGGAAGTCCCATCAAGCCATCCTAAGACTTCCAAACTGCACTACCCTTGTTTCTACATTTCTGCTCTTTTCTGCAGTTCTCCCCCACTACCTGAGAAGCTCTCAGCCCTCTGGAGGGAGCAGAACTACCCAGTTATCAAGGCTTGACCATGGCTTGCCAAGAGAAGAACAAAATCTCACATACAACTGAGCCTGAACTGTTTGAAGACAACCAAGAAGAATTAATTAATATTGGGGTTTATTGGAACTTACTGCATTAAAAAATCTATTTGGCACTGTGGAGATTGACAGTTAAATAAACCATAAAATACACAGCAACAGAGAGATCTGTAAAGTTTGCCTTACAAGAAAAAAATGTTTAATCCACTGCAGGTAGGACTGCAGCTTTAACCCAGAAATCTTTTACACAGACAAAAGATTGCACATTGTGATCCCTTCTTCCAAAGTAACTCTCTATCTCCATCTCTCTCCATACATACAAGGGCCTTGAGAGGAGAAAGTGTTTCTTGAATTAATCACTTGGAATTCTAAGTAACAGAATAAAAGGATTCAGTGCTATAAATCTATAATGAGAGCATAAAACAGGGAGTTAAATGCCATGTGCTAATTTCAATATATTGTTAAAAACCATTTGATCCTTCAGTGTGATTATAAATTAGAGAAGTAATAGGAATTTAAAGATTCAAGTTATTCATACTGGCATAGCTAAAAGTATTATTAAAATCCATTCCAATATAATGAATTTGTTTTTTAAGAAAGCATTTTTATAGCGCAGATACCTCCTCTTCCCATGTTTTAGGGTAAGAAGAAATTGGTTTTGCTCATTCAAAGGAGGGGTTAGGTTTGTAATAGAATATGGGACATTCCTTCACTTTGTTTGGATAAATCTCAACAAGCCTTTGGGAGAGCTCGTGTGCCCAGGACCCTCTGGGACACCACCCCTGGTCTTCCCAAATCATGAACACAACAGAGCTACAGCTGCCAAAAAACATAAGGGTGGGTTTCTTCCTCACAATCTCTCTTGCTTTTCTACTTCCAGGACCTTTTTTGAGAGTAACTAAACTGGTATGAGGTGATGAGCTGCCTGTCTTTGCCCAGGTGCAGGCAGCACCCAGGGATGCACATGTGCTGGGGTGCATTGTGGTGCTGAGCAGAGACCCAGAACAGCAGAGCTGGGGCTGCAGTGGGTTGGCACAGGAAGGAGTAAAGAACAGCTACCCAGGAAACTAATGGGGCTCCTTGGCATGCCAAGGCAGCCACATATATAAATCCAAGGAGGGCAGAATTGTAAGTAATGCTGGGTCCTGACAATGGAAAATCCAAGAAAAATGGACAACCAGATGTGAGAGTTGATGCCAAGGCTACAACTGACACACCCAGTGTCAAGCCAGGGAACAGACAAACGAGGCAGGAACTGGATCTAACAACCAAAGATTATCCATTAGCCACTGCACAGAAGGCTGTTCTATGGACTAACAATCCAAACCTTGTATTTATAAAATAACCCTGTTCAGGACCTTGGTCTCCAGCTGTCACAAACCCCACAGTAACTCTCCCTGGGCTGCCTCTCTCAGCACAGCTCTCCTTTGCCCCATACCATGGGGTACTTTGTGTTTCCTGTTTTTAACTAAACTTTTCCTTGTTCTTCCCCATCTCTAAATCTCCTCTACCTCCTCCATTAGAGCTATCCTTTTCTTTTACTCACAAACACTCAACACCAAAATGACAGGTGACACAGCTCATACACCTATGAGGATTCCAAGCACCCTTGGAGCAAGGGGAGCAATCCCAACAGAGCAGCCCTGGGAGATGGCTCCAGGCACCACTGCTACACTCAAGAGCTTTAAAAAAGTGAGAGAAATATTTTTATTAATTAAAGGTCTGTAAAGCAGATTGCCATAAGGTATCAGAGAGGCTGAAACCTGAGATGTGAAGCCAATCAGACTTTCCAGCAGTCCACGGTCACATTGGGTGGGAAACACTGGTATGAACACGAGGGTCAGGCTGACACTGATCATCCCATGTCAGGGTGGTCTGGAGGAAACCTCCACTGTGTTTATTGCAAATTGGTGATATTTGTTCAGAAACACATAATAAATCCAACCCACCAGGTCCCTGTCTCTGGGACAGAGCAAATCCATACCCTCAGTCCGTCCTGCAGAACATTAATTGTGCAGGAAATCCCTCAGAGCTCAATTACTGACCTGGGAGGGGGTGGCACTGGATCCAGGGACACAGGGATCAGGAGTCAGACTGAGCCACGCTGGATTTCACCTGTGGGTTTTCCACAGGGCTGGAGTCTCCTGTCCAGGAGGAACCACTCAGACCCAGACCACAGGCACTGCCACAACCATAACCACTTTTTGCTTCCAACTAAAAACTACATTCCAAGTGGAAATGCTGAGGAGATCCAGAAGATAAAGGACAATTACTGATATTCAAAGAGGCAGGATCAAACTTTATTAATAGATCCAGTATAAAATTCAATGGAAAATCTATTCAGGGCCAGGGGCCTTACCATTTGGAGTTTCCTTAATAGCCTCCAATAAATCTGGGAAGCATAAAGGGGCTGTTAAATTAACATTTTCCTGATCTGTCACCTGTGGCACAGTTAATTTGTCAAAAAATTCTTTTAGCTTGTCACTGGACACTGTATATTCTGACAAATGAAGTCTGGAATAAAATTGACAAAATATCTCGTTAATTTTCTAGGAAATCACAAATCTGATTCCATTAAGCTTTTATTGTTAGAAATGTTATATCCCACCAGTCCTTTAAGGAAGCGAGGAGTAACTGGATATACCAAAAATGTACTATAAATCATAGGAAATTTTTCAAGTATTTTTGTTGATGGGTTCTTTTAAGGTTCCTTGATGCTCTCCTACGGTATGTTAAATTTAAACAAAAATAAATATTTAAACTCTATCAATTCTTTCAACTCAAAATGTCCTTCTAAGATTTAAAATCAACTTTTAATCAAAGTCCATGAGGGAATGTATCCCTCCCTCCCACACCAGATGATGTTTATCTGATGAATATCGTGTGTCCATTCCCAGGGTAACTCACTCCTAAACACAGTGAAGTACCTGCAAACAGGGAGCACAACTGTGTGTGCTGTGTCCTTCTCACTTCTGCTCTGCTTCACCACACACCACGGCACAACATTAAAACAAAGTCCATAAACATTTCTGAGAGAAAAGTGATTGATTTTCAACACTAATAATTTACTGCCTCTTCCTGCACAATGGAGTTCTGTGACTAAATGTTATATCACTTTAAGATTAGATGTTCTAATGATATAATGCAAAGATTTTACTGAATCATTATTTAGTGGGAGTCATAAAAACCTCTTAAAATTAATCTTTCATGCACATCTAGCTTATCCAAAGTTAGCATTTAATTAGATGGCCTTGGCACGAATGAGCTTACTACTTTATTTGCTCAATCAGTATATGTCTCTTCAGTAATTATAATTAATTCAAGTCATTGACTCACCTCCCAGCAAACAACACTAAACACTGCACAAAATGGAAACAAATGCTTCTCCTTTCCCAAATGCAAAATGTCTTCTCACTTTTAAACTCAGTTAAATGTTTTTTGGTTTGGGTGACAGGGTATTTAACACAATCTGTGATCCAGCAACCACTTTCTGAACATAACTTACATATGTATTTAATAACATACAGGAAATATATGAAGGAGAAAAATAGAAATATATTAACTCAGCATTTACAACATAGAGAAGTTCTAATGGATCAGAGCATGGATGTTTATAGCAACACAAGGGACAATATTTTTCTAAGATGACCACTGAAAAGCACCATTTTCTAATCTTTTGACTTGAAAAAAATTAAAAAATTTAGACCAATTATTTCTTTACCAAAATAAGTGGAAATAAAACAGTCAGTCATATTAACTCATAAGCAAAACAGCTTTAGAGAGGCTGAGTAGACAAAGAAGGGTCATCTAAAAGAAAGGATGATAAATTTTTTTAAGTTTGGATGATCAAATACCTTAAAAGCCTTCAGTAAGCACGTGGCAGAAACCCCCAGAATGAGGCACAATATTCTGAACCCGCTGGCAGAGGGCTCTGAGCAGACAGGGGGAGCAGAGCAGGGTCTGAGCACACCCACAGCCCCAGCAGAGACCCAGGGAATGGTGATGGGCACAGCCTGAGGTGTGGGGCACAACACAACACACGGGTGTGGAGTACAGCACACAGGCAGGACACATGGGAAACAGTGCTGGCACAGCCTGGGCATCTGATCTGTAACAGGCTGGGAGGAGATGCCTGCCCAGTTGCACATGGAATATTCAGAGGCCCAGTGCTCAGTCTGGGTGCTCACATGAACATCTGGGCAGTTTTACACCATTCCTCCTCCAACCCACCACACTGTGCCCCACCATGGCCAAAGGGAATGGGGTTTATTTCATCAGGTGGTTAGAACAGCACTGGAGTTTTTCATTGCTTTGGTCACACGATTCCTTTTGTTATTCCTAAGCCACTTATGGAGAACACCCCAGTGAGAGCAGGGCACAGCAGCCCTGGCCTGCTGCAGGATGCTCAGCACGCTGCCAGCCCTCACAGGTCCTCAACCAAGCCTCAAAGTTATTCCCTTCTGAGGAGCAGATTCTCCCTTTGTATCATCCCAGCTTCTGCTGCAGAGTTAGCAGATCACGATGTAAAATTCCATTAACATCATTAAATACTTAATTTAT